TCATTTATACAACATCACAGAAGAATGTGTAGAATATTGTAGTCCAAAACATTTAACTTGCTTAAATTTGTTTTGGATGCAGATGCAATCCTTTTAAGGCCACCAGAAGTGCAACTGAGGAAAAGAGCACAGGCAACATACTCATAAAAATGTCAAATTCCTAGATTTCCAGACCAATATTCTTCAAATGGCAAAATACATAATTTGTCTTAAACACACATTTTTAAAATGAAAAATAAAACAAAACAACAACAACAAAAAACCCCACTATTATTTGGCCTAAAAAAATCCATGCAGGGAATGTGCATTTTCTCAGCAATCAGCCCAGGAGGAGAGAATCTGGGCAGGTGGCAGCAGCCACCAGTACCAATGAGCAGCCAGGCAGCCCTCCAGCCCGCACCAGCCCTGTTGCCCTGGCACACAGCTGGGGTCCACTGCAAATTGGCTCCCTGCCACTGGATGGGACTGAGCCAGCTGAATGTCCTGCAGGGATGATGAGACCCAGCTGCAAGCCCAACTCAACCCTTTCTGACCTCAAGGGAGCTGGATCCCTGGTTAGGCAGAGAAGCACAGATGGGCTTTTTTCTCCTCGCTCTTATCTCCCTGAGGTATACAGTATGTGTCTCACAGCTTTTAGTCTTTCAGAATGCAGCTGATGGCACCAAGAAGCATGACCTTTCCCCTGTTAGGTGACTATCAGCATGGAAATGAAAAAAAAAAAAAAAAAACATGAGTAACTTCCCATCCTGAGAAAGGGGTATAAAAGACTTCCTATATGACAAAGCCTGTCCTTAACAAACCACAACTAAGGGTTAAGGCATCCAGTGGCAGGCAGTGTGAAGAGGGAAGGATGTTAATTAGATTATTAAGTAATAATCTACGACAGCCCAGTCATGCTTGTTCTCTCTTAGTCCATACCTGCCTTACTGTAAACCTTTGTCAAATCCCTTCTCCACTCTCTCCCAATTTCTTCTCACCGCATACGCAGAACTCAACTCCCAGATCTGTTAAGTTCTATCCAGAGCACCTGGGGCTTCCTTTCTGAGCACCCTCACAGGCTCACTGCCTCACTAACCCCATCCCACCAGTACAGATTAGGGGCTCACAACTTGGTGAGCCAATGACTTTCATCTCCTTGCTGGTCTGCACATTGTTTCAAAAAACAAACAAACTAACCAAAAAAAAAGAAAAAGAAAAATGATTTTTTTTTCTGGAGTTCTCAGGTCTCCTGTAGACTAAGGAATTGCTATGAGTTTCCTTAGAACTATAAAATATTTTTCCTAACCAGCATCTGTGAAACCTTACCCTTACTTTCACTAATTTCAATCTAGCTGACACTTCGACCAGGGGTTGCAAAGGGGCATCTCCTGCCCTACAGGTGACAGGAAGAAGCTGTCCGCAACTCTGAGATAGCAACTGATCACTTACATTTAACACCCCAAGCCAGGTTTCACCGGGCTACCCAGCAGGAGCAATAGGACAGCATTCTGTAGGTGCTTCTCATTCAGGCAGAGAGTGACCCATCATGCCTCTCCAGCATATGCAAAGAAGTAATGCCTGGATCATGTCAGTAGGTGTGCCCATACATGTATGAACAGAAGCGATAAAGAGGACAATTAAAAAGCTCTTACGGATCTTCATTCTTGAGAAAACAGACAGAGGAGAGGTGCTTTCTTCCAGCTATACATAGGCAAAGATCATTCAAAGAAAACATTGGAGTATACTTAGTGCTGCATTCATTTTTGAAAGGTTTGACCAACTTGCCATGTGAAACTGAAATTAACAGTCAAATTGTGGCTTTTTAAGTACAGGATGTGGCAGGGCGGGGGGGAAGGGAATTAGAAGAAGTAAACAGTTGGGTTTTGTTGTTTTATTTATTTTTATAATATATCAATAAGCACACTACAAGTATTTTTCACAACTCATCACCACTGTTCTCTGTGGAACCATGTTGTTATCTCAACTCCTAAGAAACTGGTCAATAAACATATACCAAAATTTGTCCAGAAATAATTTTAGATAAATATTTACATGGTTAGATGCTGACTTCAAAATGATTCTTAGAAAATTGCCTATTTCTATTTCTTATTTCCAGAGAAAGTACAAATTAAATGTAGCTTTGTTTCTGCTATTATCAATGCAACCAGAGAACATAATTGAGGAATAAATATACAAAATAAAAGTAAATACTGATGACAAATATCAAGTTGTCCTCTGACTCATGTAACTATCCACCCAGAAAATCTCTTTTATTTCTACCTTTCTGTTGGATGGCTCCTTGGCTTGCTTTGTTTTGGGACCCCCCATGCCACTTTATGGTTTCCACCAGAAAACTGCAAAGAGAACCCAGTTACTAAAACAGAAAAAAAAGGGCTACATTTTCACCATCAGTCTGTTAATTTGGCCCAAAACTATGTCAATTATTGATTTGAGGGAATACTTTTTTCAACAATATTTGAACTTGCATTTCTACAACTCAGCCTTTAAAACTTTCAGTGTTTCAAGAGATGCATTTAGAGGAAAAGAGAAATAAGTTATTAAAACACCTTGCTCTCCCCAGCTATCTTCAAGTCGCAGCTAGGTGTCCTGCTTTGCACCAAGGTCTGAAGTTTGTTTGTTCAAGCACAAATTCAGGTAATTGACTATCATTAGCGGCTGAGTTGATATGGACTGCTTGTGCCTCCACTGCTAATGAGTTCATACACATAATGTTGGGATTGTAGTTCTGATAGATACTCTCTGATACAACACAAAGATCATCTATGCATATATCTTCGTACTGTGGTGCTGTCTTGAAGTTCTTAGTCTGCAATACAAAGGAAAATATATACCATTAGATTACCTTGTAGAATGTTGCTGAAACATCATAAGTATACAGCACAAAAGAAAAAAAAAAAAGAGATTGGAAGAAATCTGGTAGGCAATTGGATTTCCAAAGGAACTGGATCACAAAAGAATTGTGAATTTACTTCTCTAAATTCCATTAGCAAAGAGGTAGGGCATAGAGGGGGAAATCTGAACTAGCAGAAAGACGCCAAAACTGCCTTTAAAATGTTTAAACAGGGCAGTCTCTGGAATCTCTTTTTCTTGATATGATTGAAAACAAATTTTGAAACGTCAGTCTTCAAAGTCTTTCTTCAAAGAGGTCTTAATGAACAATGCTAATGTAGATGAAAAAAAAAAAGAAGAAAGAAAAAAGAACAAGAAAACATGCAGGCCATACACATTCCAGTTTGGAGACCCAAAACTACCAGGAGCTTTTGACTTTTACCTCTGCAGCTCCCACTCTTGTCTGTCAAATTTTGCTAGCTTGCAATAAACAAGGCACATAGCTATGACTTTAACCGTGAGCAGAAGACAAAATATGAAATAATTGCTCTTTCAGCCATTAAATAGGGCAGAAGAGCAGAAGAAGGTGTAGCATATTATCATGCTTTTAAATATGTATCAGAACACATAGAAATTAGAGAGGAAGTAAAACTTGTAGAGGCAAGTTTAGTACTGCTGTTTCTAGAGTGTTCAAATTTGAACCTAAAAACAAAAACAAACAAACAAATCAACTGTTTGTGTGTTTCATGCAGCATAAATAAGTGTATTTTCCATTATTATAAATGCCTGCCCATTTTCATCATTAATTGTGCAAATTCCTGTCTTGAAGGACAATACACATTCTTAACAAAAGGTCAGAGTTAAAGTTACTCAGTAATGCATAATTCTGAATACATTAACTTTTGAGGGAGCTAAAATTCAGTTTAAGCACTGGCATTATAAATGTAATCTATAGTATTCTTACGCAGGAGAAGCTATATTCCCTGCTTAAGCACTAAAGTAAGAAATTAGTGAAATATGGTGCATTCCCATGAAGGTAGGGACGTGCAACTAGCAGAAGCTCTTCTAGCTATACTTGTTCCTTATTAACACATGCAAGCACAGCCAGAGATAAATGAGAGTTTTGTGAGCGCAGACACATGTTGCAATGAAATTACATGTATTATTGAAGTAAACACAAAAAAATCCCACTTACAGCAACTGGTGCTCCTGGTCCAAGTGTCGATTTACATAAACAGGAAGCTGAAAGTAGGATGTTGGAAATTCAAAATGGTTTGATGGGATCACAGCTACTTTGTCTATACTTCTCACCTAGCTGATCTCTGCTGTTGACTTCCTTCTAAATACAGTTCCAAGTCCTGGTTTAGTTCTCACTTTTATGTCGTAGTTTAGAACATGCTCTTGCCACTGCTTTTGTTTTATTTTCCCCTTCGGTAAAACTCTTAACCACCCTAGGAGTCAGGATTGAATCAACACAGTCTTCTTTTCCTAAGTTTACTTTTTCCCAACGCTGAAGGGACACAATGAGCCAAGCACCCACCTGAGCTGCACACTTCGTTTGCCCCTCTCCCTGCCTGCCCCAAACTACACTTTGCTCTATGGCAATGATTGCTTCCCATCCAAGAGCTGCAAGCACCAGTCAGTGCTGCCATCACTGATACTAACTCTCCTTCTGTTTTCCTCTCTTGCCTTTACGTTTTCCTCACCCTGCCTTCTCTGCGCTTCTAGGACACACCTCCTCTCATTGTCCCTTCTTGCCAACCCTCTTTTGCTTTGTACCTGGTTCATGAAATACCTGCAATGAATACGCTTTGTGGGGGAAATAATCTGAAAGACATACACAGAGGAGGAAACCCAGGCAGGTACTAACTTTAGAACAGAACTAAGGCAACAGAGGGGAGTAAATTAGGCACTCTGATTCTCTGCAAATTCCTTCCAAAGGGAAAAGACAGTAAAGACAGTTCACCTACCCCAAAGTTGCTTTCTTCCAGTTTTTCATCTCTTTCTCTCCTTAAAACATTCTCATTTTTAGGCTACTCTTTTTCCTGTCTCCATTTCAAGCCCGCACTTGCCTCCCAACCAGTTCTGTCAGCAATTAGTCATATGTCCTTGTTCCTGCACATAGTCACTGATGAGCCTGAGATGTCTCACAGTCCCATCTGAGATCACGACTATTCTCCAAATGACTTACCCTTGCACCTGAAAATCAAGCATAAAATCACACCAATACCAATGGCAGCAGCAACACTCGCAGATCCTCCTATCATGAGATAGTGAAGATTGAGTGAAGCATCTGAAAGATGAGAAAAGAAAGCTAGTTACAGAACTAGATGTCAACATCCACTGCCTACAATGCTACTTCCTGTCTCAGTAAGAGAGGAAAATTAATCCTCTACTCCCGTAGCTCAAATGAGCTATGAGACACAGGTCTAGGTCCCAATCAACAGTAGGGAGCTGCACGACACACTCAGTCATTCATGTACACAGACAAGTTTTTATGCTTGGCCCCACATGCATGCACAGTCTCTCTTTGTCCAAATGAATCAACAGATCCGACCATTTGACCCTTCGAAATTTTGCAATGACTGGGCTATGTTGACTGCTGTACTTCATGCCTCTACTATGTAAATCCCACTGGTAGAACTTATATCAGGTCAAGAACAGCCAGAAGAAGATGCATTTTACACTCTACCACCCTGGAAAAGGTCCCTTGAGAGTCACAGACAGCTGTCCTCCAAGCAAGTTTTCTCTGGGCCTTAATCTCACGGGGATTTGGGACAAAATCAACTCCTGTGGTTCAAATTTCACACCTAAAATTAGCGAACTGTGTCAGCATGGCAGATGAAAGCAACTTTTCTGTCACCAATGACTGAAAAAGTCATTTAAATAGCATGATAAACTTTAATAAAAACAAAACTAGAGTAGAAGGAAGCAAACACTGGCAGCTTCCCTATCAATGCCAGGAACTTTGGGTTTAAAAGGACTAACTCAAAATTATTAATTTTTCTGCCAATGTCTACTAGGATTTGGGTATTTCACCTTCCTCCCCACACAAACAATCTGTGAAGCCCTGGCAGTCAGTAAATTACAGAAAAAAATGATATTTACACAATAGATCTAGGGACAGAGTCTTGTTTGTAGCTGGATGGGTAACGAGGCAGGTCACAGAGGAATGCACATTGCTTTTCCATTCTACAGAGCTCACTCTGGTTACTGTTCCATTGGGATGATGAACTTCTCTATCGGTGCTGTGGTTATTTGCAGGTACCCAGGAGATTTCTGCAGCTGGCTTTCCTGCAGAGGCTTGGCAAATCACTACCCCACCATTGTCAGTGGTCAAAGTCACTGTAGGAGGGACTGTGGAAGAAGAAAATGACCCACCACCATTTTTTTCCTGCTCAGTATAATCTTTGCATCTCCTATTCAAGATATTTTAAAGTAATTTGGAACATTAGCACCAGCTGTCTTTAGGGAAAAAAAGAAATACATTAAAGAGTCCAAGATTAGTACCTCCAAAAATTGCTAACTGCACATAAAAGACTTGTTCCATCATGTTTTATGAAAGAAGATTATAGCAGAATCAGAAGACGGGATGAGGAATGGGCTGTTTTAAATTATGAATTACAAACAGAGCAGTGAACATACTGAAGACAGTGTCACTAAAACTTAACTAATATGACCAGAACATAAAATCCATCCATAGGTAAAATGTTTCTTAAAACTTATGGAAATGCAAAGATAATTTACCTGATTTGGAAAAGGATGATTTGTTGTACTGTCTTTTGTTCTTGCCTAGCTTGCAAATGGATTGTTTTCATTTTTATTTTAGTTATAAAATCTTACAGACAGCTTTCAGCAAGAAAGTGAGAAAAGTTTCCAGATAATGCCTTAAAACTCTTGTTTTCTTCTCATTTAATCCTTATTCAGACAAAACACATATAGACCTTGCTGTGATTTTTTGTGAACATTCTCTGGCTGAGCTTTGAGTAGCAATATTTACTATCTTCTGTTTGCATTAACACACAGAAGTGCATACTCCAAGTCATATGTACAATCATGCGATACCCAACACCTCTAAGTCCAAAAAAAACCACCTCAGAAACTATTCTAGACTGTTGTATTTGTTGTACCTTAAAACCTCCCTGGTTTGCGAGTTGGAAAAAAAATTAATATGCAAAACCAGAATATTTTCCCATATCAACAGCCCATTCCGATTGCATATCTTCTCATCCCTATTTTCAAAAAGCCAGTTAGACCAAGTCAGCCTAAGGTATCACGTACCCCTTCACTGAGGAATCAAGGAGTCTTCTACCTCCTTATGTGCAATTTCAGCATGTATCCAAAATGGATTTGGTCTTTTAACACCAAATCAAATATATATGTATATATACATGTATGTATGTATATATATACACATGTATATATATGTGTGTATATATATACATATATATACATGTATATATATATTTTTTCCCTCATCAAAAAAAAGCATAAGGCATGTCTTACCTATCACAGCCAGATAAGAAAAAAAATGAAAATTGCCCTCACTGTTGACAATTTCACAGGTGTAATTTCCCTCATCACCAAGCTCGACAGGGTAAATACGAAGAGCAGGGTTACTGTCAGGTGAATATTTCCATGTTGTCCTCTCACTGCAGTTCAAATTTCTTGTCACATTCTTATCATATCTATAGGCTAACAAACAGTAAGTGCTGAATTTCATCTTCCATGTCACCATTAGCAAAGGCTTTTTGAAGAGGAAAGGGCAATTCAGCACAGCCTCATTACCAGCCTCCACATTTACTATGTTGTAAGCTACAAAATAAGAAAAAAGAGAGAAGAAAAATTATGCTACAAGCATCGTCAAAAGCATAGGAGGGTCTTGACTTTGTTCATTAAAAAAAATTCTACTTCATTATTGCACTGAAACCCTGCGCAGATTCTATAACTTCTTTTTATACTATGTGGTTTATATGCTGACTGAGACTCTGGCAGATATCGTTCCTTGGAAGACTAATGATACTGCAGGTCCAAACCTTGTAATGGCACCACACTTTCACTACCATTTCCAGTGTCACTGTGAATCTAGAGCCTAAAATTTTT